TTCAAAAAACTTTCGAAAAATATATTTCTTTTATCAAATATTTCTGTCCGTGTATCTTGTATCGAACAATTTTATAAACGCTTAAATATCGCATAAATCATACCTGGTATTTTATACATAGGTTACGAGAGCAGCTTATAATTTACCAAGCTAATGATCAATCTCGCAGGCTCTAGATTTTTTTCTCCCCTTTCTCCCCTTTTGGAATCTTATTTTACGCGACGTGGCGCGATCCCTCTACGGGGTTCGTAAGAGCGCGAAAAAAGGGATAGTTATCGCAGTTCCCAGATACGCGTTCACGCATTTTTAATGCCGCTTGGCGGCCGCGTGAAGGTGCGAGGGTCAGCAGTGACGCTACGTGTCACTGCTCGCGCATTAATGCTATCATGAATAATCTGACCGTCGTCGCTGTGTATGCGATTTTTTTAATTAGCCGGCATTGAACGGGAGGAGAGGCTGCGACGTCGCCGTTGACAGCACGTTAACGTTGACTTATACCGGATTTACAGTCGACGTAACGGTCGACTGGGTCGATGTAACAAGTCGAGTATACTCGACCAGTGTCAACGCTTTTAGTCGGGGTTAATTTTAGTCTAATATTAGTCGACTAAGCTTCTCTCAGCGATTACTACGCTACGTAAACTAAGCATATGACCTGGTTACAGTTTATTTGAGAAAAAAAAGACCGTCGGCATTGTGTGTCCCCATTCGATCGCTCAAACTCGTCGTCGAATGAGTTTATCACGCGTGCAATTTTTCCTTTCTATAATAACGTCAATATATCGATTCGGCAAGTCGCGGTATCGAAATTTTATCGCGATGATCATTGCGGAATTGGGCGCGAAGAACAAAGGCGATGCTTTTTATTTGAATTTATTTCTCAATGATCGTCTTGATGATGAATAATACAAATTAGCCGCGTTCTCGTAATGTTATAAAGCGTTACAAAAATAATGAGCTAAAAACAACTCGCGCACTCTGACATTTTCTAAAATGCATCCATCGAGGTCGGATCTGATCCCGCTATAATAACCCGAAGGTTGAAGAAAATCGGAAACATTTTTTTATGCGCGTAAACGTAGTAGCCAGAGAAAAATTGCATTTTTTTTTTATCGTAGATCGATGTGCATATTTTCCATTTTCCAAAGATGCTCGATCTATTACGATCCCTGTAATACGTATGACTCTTTATAGTTTACCTATTACGTGATCGCGGAATCGGATGCCAATGCGTGAATTCTATGGAATTAGATTTCGTCGGTTTATCATAGAAATGGAATCGACGGCGCGTAACGACGTCATCCATTAAGCAACACCGTGTATTACAGCGTTTCCTATTATCCATTTCATCGTACGAAAGTTATTTCGCTTATATTGGCGATCAATTTCAATCCGACCTTTGCGTCGATGTATAAGGGTGAGATTATGTTCAATTGCAATATGAAACTCATACATATGTAGCCCGTGCATTCTTCCGATAGCAAAAATGTACGAAAGGTACGTATTCAGTCTATTTTAAAAAATTCTCTGAAAATTCCCTGACCTTTCAGGATATTTTTGTTCAAAATTCCAGATAAAAAGAATATTTTACAGATCTTTTGTGATGCAATTTGCTTAAATAAATTTTTTATTGTATGCATTTTCTAATGCTTTTTACTCATGCAAAAAAAGAATACAGAGCCACTTCTTATTTCTAGAACCAACAAATCAACGTCGAATGTTGACAAGACGATGCTCAACGGTCTTGTGTCTCCTGAACGCACCTTATGTAAATGTATTTAAAAAAATGGATAGCTTTCGTAAAATAAACATTTTTCCCTTGCATAACATTTTCATTTTTCTACCACTAAAAAACATGACAATAAAAAGAACATGTACTGCACATTCAATATTTTGTTAGGATATTGAATTATTAGATATTATATAATCAAAAATAAATATATAATAAATATATTTATTAATAATAAAATTAATATATTTATAATAAAATAAATATATTTATAATATATTTTACGCACATAATTCATAGCTTATCGGCGAATTGCCAATTACTTGCAATACAAGAGCATTATCAAAGAAATTTTTTTAAAAATTCCTTTAATTCCAATAAAATTCCATGAGAATTCCCTGATATTTTCAGGTATAAAAGATCCTGAGAATTCCAGATTCTCCATGTTTTTCCAGGGTGTAGATACCCTGGTACATATAGATTAAGGCAGGCGGGAGGTTGCGCAATATGTACCTATATATTGACGCGTAATCAAATGTCTATGCGCGCGATTAATTACGCCGCTACCGCTCGGTGTCGATGGCTTTGAAGGAATTGCCTAGGATCGATCACGCTCCGAGAACTTTGCTCCTAGCCGAATACAGTTTAGCGAACTTTCGTGTAAGAGAAATATATGCCATGCAGAATAATCGATACCCTTTCTACGAAGCTGCTCGCCGACGATGAACTTCCATTTGTGTACCATGTAATTGAAACGAGTATATTCGGCGAAAAAGACGTGTCGCGTATTCGAAATGCTTTAAGATTATCGACTTTTAAGCTTCGCTGATAGACGGACACCGCGATGTGTAATCCGATATTCGGCACCGCCATTCATTCACGCACCGGATTCGGTGCGCCAAATATGTATTCTGACACTAACAAGGAACCGGACTGACAAAACTATTACATTGATTCTATTTTAATCTGAAGAATAAATAGCATTGTTTAATGGAATGAAAAAAAAAAAAAAATTAAAAATAGAACCATTAACGCGCGGTTTGTTTTTGAAAATTTTTTTTTGATCTTTCAAAACCACGCAGTTCGATTTATCCGTCAAATGCTTGTTTGCTTACATTCAAGAGTTAAATTTCTCCGTGATGTTTAAGAACCATATTTTTGTTTATACATAATTAATCGTATGCTTTAAATGTTTCATATTCTTGCGAAGAACGAATCATGAAATGTTCTTTTAAACGAATACCAGATATTATCGTACCCGATTGTATACATATTTTCTTTACAGGGAATTAATAACAAAAAAATGATTGAAACGTTTCGACAAGAAAAGAAAATTAAATCTATTGTGCTTACACTCTGTCAATAGTGTTTTGATATGTATATATACATATATATATATACACAACACATATACATATATATATTCTTTTTCCCTTGGAGTTTCATAATTTATAGAATTTCCCGAGCTTTTCGTAATATTTTTAATGTCATTTTGTAGAAAGATATATACATTTTTTTCTATAGCTGCATAAAAAAAAAAATAACGAATACAGCTAGAAAACATACGTTGTCCCATGAAAATTCCTAGCCTCGTTATGGTCAGACATCACTCTTTACGTCGCTCAAGCACGCAGAGTTTTGCCTTATTCAGTGTTTCGGCCGTGCACGTGAAACGTTAGCTTGGCAAATCGCCAGCAAAAACGAAGCTTGCTACCGAGTCGACTTATTTTCACGAGGCGAAAGCTTCGGTAATATCCGTGGTTTGCGGACCAAAAATAACGCCAACAGTGTAAATATTAGCAAGTTATAATCGATGCAAAGTATCGATCGACGATATAATGTCGAGAAAGCGACCTTCCGGTTTTCCGAGAGATGAACAGAGAGAGAAAGAGAGAAAGAGAGCGAAGAGAGAGAGAGAGAGAGAGAATGGGATCGTGCGTAATCGATCGAACAAAATTTATTCCGATCCCAGGAATTTAATCTTTTCAAGATAAAGCAAAGTTTAACATACGAGCGTATATCGTGTGTGCGTTAAATATATTTGTGTATGGAGATTGACTCGAAATATCGATATCTCTTGACGATGAGAGATCCGAGATAGATTGTCGATCAAAGAAAGATGTTTTAACGTCAAAACATCTCACGCGAGACGGACAACGTAATTCATTTCTGAGATTTATCGAGATCGATTCTCTAACGAAAATACGCTTGTGATTCTAATACCTGACGATCGTGAAGCCTATGAACTACCGAGAGAATTAGAAACACAGATTTGCGAGTGGCTTCCTAAAAGTTCGCGCGTCGACTCTCGGCATCGCGGCTGTTTGTAAACATTTTTTTTTCTCCCCGGCGAACTCGCGAAACCGAGGGACGATAGCGAGGATACCGGACGATTGAGAGACGTCGATTTAAACGTCGTCACGAGGGAGATGCATCGGCAACGACGGAGTTTCGAATGGAGCAGGAGAGACGATAAAGGAAGAAGAACAGGGAAAATACACAGGCGGAAGAGGCACTCAAAAAAATGTCTTGCTGATATAGGTAGATTTCTAGCTGTCACAACAAAAATTTATCGCTATTTTTTGTATCTGTTAGAATATTGTCTGTTACATATAGAATTTATAGCAGCAATATTCTAATAATATCTTCTAGAAAATTTAGGTCCCATTGCCAAATGTTAATCACTGCATTGGATAAATATGAGTTTCGATACTACAGCTAGAACGATCTTTGTGAGAAATATAACTGCCAATTATAACTGCAGCATCGAAAAATTGAGAGAAATTGTTTAAAAGAGCTAGATAGATTGGGCGCGTTATACAAATATGTTAGACGTGAGGATTATATATTCATTTGTTTCTTGCCGCTAATTTTTTCTGTGTACCACAGCCAAACTTTATAACAAGTATGATTGGCCTTAACATGGATAGGCGCCACAGAAAAACATTCTTTCTAAATTTCACAAACAGTTCAGATATAAATTCTGTCTCTGTCACTTAGATTGATTAAATGCGAAACATATGCGATATCACAGTATTTGCTAATCATTTATGTACCTCAGTTAATTTTGCGCACCCAGAAAATTTTTGCTGTAGTTGCAATACCACTTTTTTGAGTGGAGAGAGAAGGGAGGGGCAGGAAATGGGGAGAGGTCCTCCGGCGGACGGGCGGTCGGTGCCGCCGCCGCCGCCGCGCCGTCCGCCTCCTCGTCGTATCGAACCGCACGCACCGGAAGCCGCCGGAAATCGCGGAATAAGGAGAGTTCGTGTACCTAGGATCCGGCAGAATAATCCTCTTGCTGGCACGGGCGGCCGGCGTGCACTTGCTCTTCTCCATGGCCATCAGGTAGCTGACATCGGCCAGCACCGCCTCGAGATCCGCCATTTTCCTTGATGATCCTTTCGTCGATGGGTTGTCGCGCGAACACGATGATCAACCCCTCTTCTTCGTCGAGCGGGGTCCTGCCTGCCTTCTCTAACTCTTCCTCCTTCACCTCCTTCTCTTCCCTCGCGTCCGGCACCTCCGGACCTAGCACACGCAGCCGAGAGCCAGCCGCTTCGCTCTGCCACGGGCGGTGCTCCGCCGTGTGTTTCTCACTGCCGCATATTTTTAGCGTAACACCGACAATGACGATGACGACGATGACGGCGACGGCGACGATGACGACGGTGGCGAGGATAGCATTCCGTGCGATCGAACGTACGCGCGTCGAAAGAGCCTCGCTCAATTGACAGATACGATCCTTAATTGACGAACGAACGTCAATCGACGAATGATCGTGACACGGAGCGAGCAACACGACGCTTCGGAGGACGATGCTCTCTTCTTGTCTCTCTCTCTCTCTCTCTTTCTGTTTCTTTCCGTCTCTCCCTCTTTCGCGCTCCTTCCTTCGCCTCGTTTCGCTCTATCCTTCTCCGTTATCCTCTCGGAATGTGCGACGACACTTCTCTTCTTCTTTTACAATATCGCCTCTCGCACGTATATAAGACTACGCGCCGCGACGAAGCTCTGGCCTCTTTTCGGCCGCGCGAGCTCCCATTTTAACGCGACGCGATGTACCGTTCCTCTCGTCACGCCCGTGTACGCGATTGACGTCGCGCGTCAACTACGCAGAGCGATTCGAGATTAATGACGTATCGGGGTGATCGGACGCGCGCATTCACTCCGAGACGAGACGCGGAAAAATTTCACGCGTTACGAACGCAGTAGGCGCACTGGCAAAAAAACAACGGGAACAACCACAAGTTCACGACTGCCCGCCCGACAGTCGACGACTCACAGACTCACTGACTCACACTACTCGCACTTCACATTCACGCTCCGTGCTTGCTCGCGTCCCAATTGGTCGAGCGCCTCTCGCGGAGCAGACGCGAATTAATTTATCGGTAAAACAGTTTTGATCGGTAAACCAGGTTGCGATACGAATTCGTAAGTGACTTGAGCAATCGTCGGAAAGGTAGACCTCCTGTAATCTTACGCATCATTTTCTTGGTTATAATGACAAAAAAGATTAAATATTTAATACTTTTCTATTGACAAAAGCGTTAGTTTGTATCTCTATACATGTTTGGATATGACACACGTGTGCTTGATCATAATTTCATTTTTTAATTAACTGCAATGATATATTTTTCTTATGTCGGGGCTACGATATATATAGCGATTTTTTTATAATTGGTTATGGAGAATTTTTATTTAAATAATAATATGCACTTTTATATTTAAATGTAATTTACTGTCATTTGAAATCCCATTAAGTGCGTTTACATACATCCTATCCATAATAAGGAAATGGCTTTCATTTATACGAGCCAATGACACTGTTGTTATTCATCGGAAACGATGGAGTCGATTTAAGCAAAATTGATCGGATCGATTGCATTCATTGTAACACATGCCATTCAAACTTCACAATCGTATTACAGACTATAATATCACAAAAGCAATCGTGTGATACGCAATTTAAAATTGCTAGCCTTTTAAAAGTTTTAAAAACATATGAGGATTTAAACAAGAGATGAATGAAGAGAAATAATTGAATAAAGAATTTAAAAGAATAATTATAAATATAGAATAAAAAAGAAAAACAATTATAAAATACAATAAAGTAGAAAAATTGTTATTGTAATATAATACTATAATAGTAGTTTAATGAATTATAATTCCATTATTTCAAAAATATTATAAATTCTCATAAATTGAAACATTATAGAATTTTTGTTACATTTATTTCGCAACAATTACTACACATTGCGACAAATACGTAATTTACGTAAGACCATCATACCCGCAGCTCAACGAACACACTAGAAACTCACAAATCGAAGATTTCACTTATGTTTAGTAATAAGAGTATATTAACATAAGGAGTGATAAAAATAAAAGTGAAGCAAAAGTTATCAGCTTATAGTGAAAACAATAAAATCTATTTAAAAATAATAAGCATATCCTCTTCATATCTTGTGCTTTTTGTGCTTTTTTTATAAAACATATAATTGCTTTTTACTTATAATTTATTTGCTAGTAAATAATTTCTCTGGAAAAAAATAGATAAAGACTGATAGCAATTTATTTTGCAAAATTAAATATGTTTAATTTTTAGATATTAATTTAAAAATATTCGAATTTCTTTGTTTAATTTGTTTCTCTACAATATATTATTACATTGGACGGATTCCACGATTCTTTTCTGTTGAAAAAAGTTTTATGAAACACACACAAACACATACATACATATGTATAAACTACATTCGAAAGATATCTCATTTTACGAAGTACACATTAGACGTTTCATCTTGCTGCATCGGTATATGTATATGCTACTGACTAACAAGCGTAAACGATGCCAGAGAGTTACGTAAAACGAAGGACACTAGTTTCGATGTTCGCTATCGATATAGGCTTCCGATACTTGTACAATTGTAGTTGTTGCACTGTGGGAAAGCCTTTTAACAGCAGGACATTAGGCAGTCGTACTAAACGATGCGATGTGTCTGAATTCATTTAAAAACTCCATTGTAAAAAGAATTCCTATTTTATATTTATTTATTTCAAAATATTTCGACGATTTCTTCACACCATATTAAATTCTGATTTTATTAAAATTAATTTTAAAATCAACTGGCAAAAAACGTATTTGCATGTTCTTCCAGATCATTGTGAATTTAATCAGACAAATAAATTCATACACAAACAATTTAATATCTCATATCCTGAATTTTTTAATCTCATACCTTATGGTGTATTGCAGCCAAAGCAAACACTTGCTCTTAAACAGCAGGCCTTTACTTCATTTAAGTATCGAGTACTTCGTAATCGTCCACGATAACGATACTCCGAAGGCCGAATTTGTGTCACCGATGAGCGAACGTACATACACTTGGGCGGCGCAAAGCATCCCAGATAATCGTTTGCCGACCTCGCCATCGTTTTTTTTTTTCCTTTCTTCCTTTTTACGACAATGCTGGTGAATGGATTGATGTGCGCGGAGCTGTATTTACCCAGCCGCATCCGATCGTTCGATCAGGCAGGCGGATGGCGCGGCCGGAATGCCCCTCTGCTCTTCCTCGTCGTATCCGCCGTTGTACGGCTCGACGCACGATAGCTTTTCATTTCGTTACGCGTCTGTCCCGCAGTTGGTTAGTGGAACGCTTGCCCGTCGATCTCACTCTCTGTATAAACGAAAGAACGACGAATGTACGCCGAGAGTGAATCGCGAGCACGGCTCGATTACGTCGAGGAGCGCGTACAACCGCTGAGGAGATATACCGATCTTTAACCCGCCGACGACGATGCACGCTTCAGCCAATAAGTGTGACAATTGCTACTAGAGAGTTCAATGACGGATCAGCGTTTTGCATAAGAGAGTGTGAGTGGATACTCCACACAAATACAAAAAGCAAAAAAGAAATTATATATTCACAATTTCTAAATAATTAAATATAATGAAACGAGTCTTAGTAGAAAAATTCTGATTTTCATTCTTTTATTTAAAGTGGGCATTAATATAGTATGAGTTTTTATATATTTTTTATTTCTTGAACATATTCCATTTTTTTTATAATTTATAAAACTGAACTTTGTAAACTTTTTCCTTAATATTTGCGTTTACAGAAATTATTTGTTTATCGTACAAACATGGCTTTATATAATTAATATAAATTTTGTAAATTATGGATATTTTTATTTCGTGCTTTATAATACTCTATATGACTTTACATAATAATTTTAATTTAAGTCTTATAAAATATATAGTTATAATTCAATTATATCCTGAAGTCACATGCGGACTGGATGCGGTTACGTGTAAATGTAGAAATAGCTAACAATAAGCTGTTATTCTATTATCACTCATCACCATTTTAATAAGTGTGAGTAATCATTAGCATAAAAGTCATATTGCACATTAATGCTATGTCTTTTTTTACAAGAACACCTAATAACACGCATTACATCACTATAGTGTGACCGATTCCTTTAATCTGTAAGTGAAAAGATATGTTTCTTACGTATTATGTTATCGAGAGATTTTTGTTTGCGAATGGGCGTAAGGGCACGACCACATTTTTTTTTTTGCGCTCACCTTCGCGTGTTTAACAAAGTTGAGAATAAATCCCATTGTAAATCGCTATCGCGAATTATGTCGTGTGCTTACGTAGTGTCAAGAGATAGCGGAACCAAAAGCACGAGGTAAAAACGGCACGCGTAATATTATGCAGCGAACAACTCGCTTATATATGAGAAACGTTGCATTATCTTGAAACCTTGAAGATAGGAGGGAGTTCTTAAAGGAGCAGCTAACGCGGATGATCGCATTCGACCGCTTCTTCACTCGACGATAAACTTAGTCTAATGCACGCTGATTTCAACTTTTACAAGTGATAGCGACATTACGTAACGAAACTTGCATATATAGGTAAATCAACGGTACGAGTGAGAAGCAGAAGATGTTGTTTCGGAGTCTATAGAACAATCCGGGAATCCTTGAAAAGCAAACTCTCGCAACTGATTTCATCCCGTCGCATTTGCAGTGCAAAGATACACAATGACGGTGACGATCCTACGCTTCATGGCTTTCGTCTGCAGTCTTGCTTTAAGCACAGGTAAGAATGTTTTACACAATCTATTAAAGAATCTAATACCTTCGCTAAATAGTAAATATATAATGAATATTAATATAGAGGGATGTATATATAAAGAGAAAATTTATTTTTTGTTAATACAATAAAATTTTATCAACAAAAAACGAAAATGTATAGACATATTATAATAAAAATACTATACATATTATATTAAAAAACTATAAAAAGACTTTATTCTTCTTGGTACTTTTTTAGCGACAATTTTACTGAGCTTAAAAAGAATTTGCAAAAGTCATTTTTTAACTCGTTTGTGATTTGACATTTACTTTGAATTACAAATATTTAAAATTTGACAGTTTATAAAATGTATTTAAATAGACGCTTTCTTTTTCTGAGTTGCAAGTATAGTTCGTCATGTAAGATCATGCAAAAAGTACACACAGATCGTAGACGTGTGACACATGACTATTTAACTGCAGTTCGTACTTTATAAGATACTTACGTCCTTCAGGTTGGTCTCAGAATTGTCAGGATCAAGATACGGGATGGGAGAAAATAATCGGAGCTAAGCCTGCAAACGCTGCAGAAACTATATTATACACAAACAGTGCCATAGGTAACAACGGTATTATCGTGCCTTGTTTTGACAGGTATTTCATCAATTAATTATTTCTAATAAATGCTATACTCTAAATAATAGATTGCTTAGATATTCAAAAAATTTTAATATATAGTAATATAAGTGCATCTATAAATCTTTAGATAAGTAGATTTGTATATTATATTGTTGAAAATGGAAATACCGCAAAATCTTTTATAAAAAAAATTAATTTCTATTTTTTACAAAGAGAATAAATAGTCACATGCATCAAATATACAAAAAATATTTATATTAATTAAAAATAATTCATCTATTACAGGTGTAAAAGCTTGAATTGCACAGCGTTTGTGATCGACTTTGCGAGGAACATTTGTTACAGCGTGCAAGTAAAAGGCGAGGAACTCATTCCTGAAACTAATGCCACGTTTTTCCACAAAATCTGTATTAAAGGTAAAGATTGTTTCCTCCTCTATTGTAATATGTATACTATAGATTTAGTAAGATTATTTCAGATTATGTGATAGAAGAAAATATTGAAAATATGTTACAAAATTTTTCATAATTTTTTGTTTCTACAGAAAAAAATTTTAGAATCAATATCCTTACTCAGAGAAAAATATACTTCTTAAAATTTCTTACTTTTATGCTTTAGTTTCACCAAATTGCAAGCGGCAAAGACTGTGGCAAGTAGAAAGAACTTTAGGAGCTATTTTAAAAGATGGACACTCTAACTTATATTATCAAGCATTGTTACGAAGAAGCGAGTGTTACAAGAAGTGTTTGCAAGCAGGTACGCATTTTATAGAATAATTATACAGATCGCGTGTCGACTCATAATCCGTCTCAAATAAATCAATTTAAATTTCCAAAAATAATAGTTTTGTTATGTATATAAACTACATAAAAATTTTTGTATAATATTAGGAAGTGAATGCGAATCTGCGCAATTTCGTACGAGCGAGCCTTTGTCAATTGACGATACTATTGGCACGTGTTCGTTGTCAAAGTTTGAGAGAGGTACTAGACCGCAAGCTTACAGATCGTCGATGTATCGGGATGAGTATCTGCAAGATCAGTGCCATAATATATGTAAGTGACTTATCTGTCTTTTTAATTATAAAAATTGAATTGTATCCAATTTGTCCATATTTTTGTCTAGCGAAGAAAAGCTATTGTTCCTATGCGGAGTTTCGGAACGTAACATTGCCATACTCGGATGTGGCGTTGCCGGGACTCGACATAAAGCAGGTATTTCTCGTATTTCTCTTATCGGTTCGCGCGTGAATGAATGTGTGACTCGATTATGATCCTTTTAGTGCGAGGAGAAATGTGATCACAACGAGAATGGTTTCATATGCAGGGCCTACACAGTCGACTATTCGGAAGAGAAACCATTCTGCTTGCTGCATTCTGACGATACAATCAGTCTTGGAGTCAGTTCGCTAGTTGCCAGACCGAACGTCATTTATAAAGAACAAGAAGCTTGCCTAGATTGTACGTTGGCGATAGACAGATAATTTTATAAGCATTATTTCTCGATAAACTTTTAACACTGCCATATTTTACAGTGAAAGTACAATGCGGCGAATCAATCATGACAGTTACATTAACCACTACGGAGCCTTTTGACGGACGGATATACGTGAGCGGATATGGAGATACTTGCGGTGTTAATGGTGTTGGGAAAAATGTGACGATCTTAAGATTGCCACTGCCAAAGAAAGAATCCATCGGTCAATCTAATATCGAGTGTGGTCTTACACCTGCGTTTTCCATTGACAACGAAAATCGGTATTTTTGTGTTCTTAAAACCCTGCTATTCGCAGTAAATTTTGAATCGTGATATCTTACGACGTCTCTTATTTGCAGAACGCATACGTTGGTTTGGGCCACCATTGTGATACAATATAATCCGATTATTCAACGATTGGGAGATCAGTCGGTGAGAGTTGGATGCTCATTAGACGGTCGCGATATCCCGGAGCCGAGAAACGTGTCCGTTAATTCGAGTTTTTCTTTCTTGGATCCAAAGTAAGTCTATTTCTTTTTTTTTTTCATCCAATGTTATTTACAATCTTTCCAACAAATAATATTATTTTATAAAATTTAATCACGAGCCTGATACAAAAATCTTATCTCGATATTATGACAAGTATCCCCGATATTCTGGCTCTGGTTATTCTTTTTAGCGCAGGCGTGCCGCCAGTTGGGTCCATCGTAATAAACGTATCGTCCGAAGTGCCCGTGGTGACGATGAGAATCCTCAACGAAGAACATATGGATGCAGTCGTTACTCAATTAGGACAGAAGCTAACGCTCAGAATCGAAATTCAACCTGTTGACGGTGAGTCACTAGCGTGTCTCTTGATATTTATGCAGAATATGTCAAATTTTACCCTATTTCTGTTATTTATAAATTCTCTTTGATCGATTTAAAGTGAAATTCTCTCCAACAGGAATATCGAAGCGTCAATAATTTTTTTACAGGACCTTACGATATCATAGCTGGGCACCTCGTAGCTAGTAGCGCATCCGGAGATTCCTCGTATCTTCTTCTGGATGAATCTGGATGTCCGACGGATCCGGCAACTTTTCCCGCGCTATTAAAGGATCCAATGGACAACCGTTCTCTGATCTCAACATTTACTGCCTTCAAATTTCCCGATAGTCAAATTGTGCGATTCAACGTCATCGTTAGATTTTGTCTCGAAGAATGTGAGCCGGTAAGTTGGCGACTTTTTTAAACATTCTAACACGGTTTTATGTCTTAAATTTGTAATTATTATAGAATTAATATTCATATATATACAAACGTACAAAATCATAAATTTATAATTTTTTTGAAGACTACTTGCAGAGGAGGACAGATTTCGTACGGCAGGAAGCGACGATCGATTGAGCAGCCGCTCATCGCCGAGGTAACAGAAATTTTCAGAAACCTCACCCCCGCGGAATTACCGTTACAACTATCTATCGTCGTTCAAAGTCCGGTGATAACAGCGGACCATTTACTGTCCAGGGAAAATCCGGTTCCTGATACAGTTGTGATCACCGGCGGAAGTGAGTTTGAGAATCGGCATCGTTGCCTCTTCCAAGCATCGGGAACGTCTAGATCCATTTGCATATATATTTCTGATTTTTATAGTTATAAAATTATCGCAAAGCTTATTTGTATATTGGTTTTCCCAATTTTTTTTAAATTATTTTATCGACCATATTTAAATAATCGTATATCGTGACGCGCGAAAAGTTCTCAATTATTATAACTTGAATTCAAATTGACATTAATCGTTCAAGACAAGATATTAGCTTTACAGTTATAAGATAAATCTTTTTTTTTCTCAGATCTTTCAACCAATACTGACAGTTTACTGCTCGTTGAAATAAAAATCTTGAAATATGAAGAAAAAAAGAGGATAGTATAAACGAATTAAATTTTTTTTTTTTTTTTTTTTTTTTTAGAATCTATAGATGGCCTTTTGTGCGTGGATGCGAGTCTGGCTTTGGGTCTTCTGATTTTTTGGTTAATAATCCAGATTGTACTCACCGTTGGCTGCCTTTTAGCAGTTCGTCGCTATAGAAAAATGGCTGTTGAGGCCGAAGAAGACAGAGCTGATATACTGGCGAGGCATCTTTACGGTATTCACGGAGGAAACTTTGAAATCGCACGAAGAGTTAGGTGGGCCGATCGAAACGATTCCTCGATCGAATGATTAGTTCCTTTTCCCAATTTTTCAAGCAAAGAGAATTCAGATACCGAGTTGGTGCAAAATTTTTCAAGTAAAATCAGAAACAAAATTTTCAGTTTTAATTTGTAAGCTTTAAAGAACACGATATGTCCAGTCGAAAATGTGACCTTAGATACCGGAAGCGCTAAGACATTAGTGAAGATATCAGTGTCTCTTGATATAATGAGATAATAATTTAAAAAAAGACTATAAAATTCGCATTTAATCTTAGCATCGTTAATTTCAGTCATTTAGAGGATAAAAGGTCAAAATAAAAATTAAGTGTGTGTCCATCAGTTAATTACTTTTGCTTAAAATGGATGAATATATTTGTAATATGTGTGCATATATGCTATGTGTAAATATGTGTATTTTTCTTCCATTTTCTAGATAATCAATCTTTTACTATTTCATTAGAATGATATTATTGTAAATTGTATTGTTTAATGATGGTTATAAATCATCCACTCGTGCTTGTTGAACAGCGTCCATAATATCTTAATGTCACTTCTGTAAATATCAGATATCACATGTTGGTGTTTCAATGTATCTACCTAATAATCGCACTGCCCTATGTATAGTAGCTGTATTTTTTTATGTTAAACTCGATAGGACAAAGACCATCAAATAAAAAATAAAAGATAAATATATTTGCTAAATATTCGCTAATGTAAAAAATTTGTTTATGCTAGAACAACCAAGAGTATTTAGATTAAAAATCAAAGATATAGAAATAATAATTATTATTCATCAAAAGATGACAAAGATAGTCTACATATCTGATTCAAAAATATTAATAACCTGTTTAGTTTCTAATATAAAACTTTAATTTTACTCTTGTTTTTAATAGAAAAATTATATTAAATAACCTAATATTTTTTTTCAAATAGCAAGACAAGCCAAGTTATTGAATATAAGGAATTTTCGCTTTTATATTGAATATGTCATACCTTTTCCACACCTTTGCGCACAACCCAGTCCTCCTGGATTGGTGTAATCAACATTGTCCGTACCGCAAACAGGATTGTATTCATGTGTTACCTGCGATCAAAATATATGATTATAAGAAATATTAAAATTATTCTCCAAAAGAATGCAATTCTCAAGTTCATACAATTGCCTTTTTCTATACGTTAAGATTGTGTGTAAAAAATAAGAGAAAGTACATATATATATATACAATTTTTTTTTAAATTAAAATAGATTTTTCTTTTATGTTTTTTATATAATTTGTTAGAACCGATTTCTGATTTACTTTACATATGTTAAAATAATTATTTATATAAAAGATTTTCTCTTCAATTGAATAAAACATTTATATAAACGTTTGTATGAAATAAAATATATATAATATTTTTAATTAAAAGATAATAATTACTGGGCAAGAATCGACGCACGCATTCAATTGATTCACGGATTGAGGAGTCGTAGTCCTATCATTCTCATTCCTAGATGCCACAGTCGTTGTGGATGTTGATGTAATTCTTCGTTCTCCATTGGGTGACCTGGTAGCGACTGGTCCGTCAAAGACGATATCATCTCTCTTTTATTTCAGACATTTCATAATTACCTCGTAATCCAAATTTTTCGAGATATCTTAGATATCGACTTAAATACTGGAATATTAAACTTCCAATATTTTTTTTTTTAGATATAAATATATTCTTTCTTTAAAAAAAAACACAAAAAAGACAGAAAATTTTCTAATAGCTATAACGGCATTATTCTTGTAAACACGTAAATCTGCCGACTTAGATTTTGCGTTGTAATGTTTGTTTATAAAACATGTAATTATTGCTTTTAATTATACACGGATTACATAAAAGAACACATTCCGGTTTTATTGTAACACTTGATGCAAAGCACAATCGTATCTCTTAATTGTTTAAATATCTTTCACATTGTTTAGATATACTTCTTTCTTCTCTTTGCTTATGTCGAAAGAGCGTTCACTTACTTGTGGGAATGCAGCGATGAGAATCAGCGATGCGGCAACTATAGAAAGTATTAAATCTAATACAATTGATATTAAAAAAATTAATTGGTTGACAAGTCGCACACGAAGCAAATGAAATCAGTTTCTTACCTAGACACAAGTAAGATAACATATTGATGAAGTTTAATAACGTTTAGTTCCTAAGAGACCACGCCGATCGGCTACTGTATGTATTCAAGATGATCTACCGAAGGTCGACGATCTACTGTTTCAGAATATCAGCTGCGTTCCCTTTTATAGCATTGGCTGCCAGCCAGTGCTAAGTCCAACTACATTTATCCATATTTTCTGCGTAATAATGAGACTTATTTATTAATTCATATCTTAATTCCGCAGACTTTTTTAAATCAATGATTTTTTTTTTGATTTTTTTTATTAACAATTAACATATGTTAGTGCTAGTATCAGTAAAAAAGTATTATTTTAAAAACCCAATAAACGCATGATTTTTTTCGCTAACTTTTAAATCAAATTAAAATATTTGCAAATTATTTAATATCGTAAAATATATCTGCTACTTTTTCTCAAAAGAAGCAAATTTATTTTCTCAAAAAAAATATTTTCAGAGATTTCATTAGAATGTGTTTAAGATATCGCGTTACACCGAGTGAGCATTTATTCGTCAGACTTATTTCTACAAATCACATAAGAATGCTAATAATAACCTATTAGCAGAGTTATCATCTCTTTGATTACATCATTCGACAACTACAATAAAATTTTTTTTTTTCAAACTAGAATAATTTGGTGATAGAATGTTAATGTCAATATTGATAGTTGTTGAATTAATATTATAATATGATAAATAATAAAATGTGTTACATAAAGTAATTTAATTTAACAAGAATACTAAAATATACATACATTAGTTTTTATATCATTAAATAGCACTTGACAATTCGTGGAAAACTCATACACTTTATGCACATGCGATGTAATACATTGACTATTGATAACATATATAGGTTTATTGGAAGGTTGTAGTTAATGTGGTAGTAACTTGCGATTACGATATCAGAAAAATTTCCGCTATAATAATATACAAATCTGTAATACTACAATGTCAGAATTAACGTTATTAAACGAAAAATAATAACAATATAAAAAGTTAAAATTATAAAAGTATTTACATTATAAAACATCTTTACTTATTTATCTGCATTCATATATAGTGTCATTTTCTCAGTCGTGGAAGTGATAATGAACCGTTCAACTACTGCTTAGCTGGCTGTATGGTTCGCAAGCTCTGATAACCTTTACTTCAAGTCCTTAAAAAAATTTAGTTATTAGACAAGAATATCAAAATTATAGATAAATAAATAGAAAGTATAGATAAATAAATAACTAAACAAAATTAATAAAAAAGAAAAAAATTTACTCAAAAATATTATTTATTCAGATATTAAAATATTATATTGTCTTTATTAATTTAGTAATTCTTTGCTCAATAATTATGTGAAATAAATGTGAATATATATATATATACACACACACACACATTATGAGATTTGAAAAAATTAAAATAATTAGAAAATGAGAATTAAGAAAAGATAAAAATCAAGAATAAAATTACTGAAAATTAAAAGTTAAAAAAAGTTAAAACAAGAATTGGAAGATAAGAGGTAGGAGTAGGATTTAAAGAGAACTGAAAGTTGACTGAAAAATTTGAAGATTGAAATAACTGAATTTAAACTAAGAATTAAGAATTTAATTAAGAATTGATATTAAATATAAGTTTAAAATTAAAAATTAACATGTATAAAAGTTTAGATAAAATTGTATCTTAACAATGTTATTTGATAATGAACTAAGAACAATAAAACAAAATATGATGTAAAATTAATATTACTTACGTGGATTACAATTTTTCGCACAATTAAATCTTCCCATATTCCAATAGGTAACATTATCGCTGCCGCATATTGGATTATATTCTGCAGTTGCAATACACGGACAATTAGTCGTTGTTCTTTGTGTGGTGCTGCTCAGCGTATTATCGAAATTATCTAAAATCTCGCTCGACCACTGGAAATCTCTTTGTGGGAATGCCAAGGCGACCAACCAAATCATGGTCAATATTTGCACAACTATTGAATAAAACAAAATTATACAATGTAAATGCACGTTTTAGTATTGTAAATTTACTATAAATATACAAAAAATGTCAAATAACATTCTAGAGAAAGAGAGAGAGAGAGAGAGAGAGAGAGAGAGAGAGAGAGAGAGAGAGAGAGAGAGAGAGAGAGAGAGAGAGAGAGAGAGAGAGAGAGAGAGAGAGAGAGAGAGAGAGAGAGAGAGAGAGAGAGAGAGAGAGAGAGAGAGAGAGAGAGAGAGAGAGAGAGAGAGAGAGAGAGAGAGAGAGAGAGAGAGAGAGAGAGAGAGAGAGAGAGAGAGATTGAGAGAAAGAGAGAGGCCCTTTTAAATGTTTAAATATTTGAAAAAATATGTCTAAAACTAAAATATTATTCGGAAATTTTATGGAAAAAAGATATATTCCTTCAATTTTGTATATTTGAAAAAAATCGATGGCTATTGCTTTGCTATACCCACTTGCAATAATATGTTTCATGATTATTTCAGATAGCCTAGTTTCTACAGTTCCAAAGAATGAAAAGACAGAAGAAAAAGCAGTAGCGTCTTCAATGATACACAATCAATTGATTCAACTCGAATGACGAGCTTTGATGAAGATGTTTTCCAATTTATATATTTTTATATGCCCTTATCTGTTTCCAATTAATTTCCTCGTAAAAGGAAAAAACCAGTAAGATAATCAGCAAGTGTCGAAAGCGGTCGGGGATATCCACATTGCATACTCGTCCTATTAACATTAATATCGCGCATACAGGTAGAGTCAACTTTAAGGAGCTTTTATTTTGCGTGTGCATCTCGAAAGAAGAATCGGAATCAATTACTGACTTTTCAAGTTAATTAACGCATTAATTTATATTATTTATTTATAAGCGTAAAACCTTTACATGACTTTATTGCATTTTTTAGCACGATTCGTTAACTAGGAAATAATAATTTTACATGATATAATCTTTGATTTTAAATTTCGAACAATTAACGACTTATATATATTTGTAGCTAACTTTTGCAGGATTAACAGAAGATAAAATTTAGCAATATTTCAGTCAAATATATGCTTTTAACTTTATGAATATTTACAAGAAATCCAGACACAGAAGAGAATTAACCTTGAAATTCTGTACAAGTATAATAAGCAAATTCCATTTATTTCTTTCTCAGATACACATGGGCGCCCACGAACACGCATACACAGACATCTATTTCTCACTTTTACACTTCGTGGATATATACATACAAGTGTGCTCATTACAATCTGCAATATTTACGTCAGTCTTCTGGATTACGACGTCAGAACTGAGGAAATCCCATGTGGTTGATATTTTTGCAATTTGTATTTACATAAATAATTTTTCATGAGATTTAAATGAAATCAATTTCAATAAATTCTAGCATAACAAAATAGATTTATTAAAGTAGAAATAGTGAATATATATTGTGACTTCAATACATCTTTTACATTTTTGAAAAAAAGAGATTTGACAGCTTTCTTTTTTTTTTGAGAAATAAAACTTTATTTAAAATCTTGCACAAGTCTTTCTTTCACTCTCTCTCTCTCTCTCTCTAGACTATCATCAGCATTACAAGTCTGCCTTATTGAAACATAATAATATGTTTGGTAAAATATCTTTAGGATATTTCATATATTGCGATGACATTGGATGATTGTATAAATAAAATTTATAATCTGTGCCACTTTTCTCTCACAGATCTCATCATGGATTATCGATTTTGAATACAGAATCGCTGTGATAGCTAAAGTTTTGATAGAAATAAAACTTCACGTGTCATCTATGCATAACCTTTATTTATAGCAATATCAATCAATCTTTCTCGGATGACAGCGTGTCGTGTATATGTGTCATGTGTAAGCGTATATTTTCTTATGTGCGATATAGATCGCCAATATTAATAATACTGAAAAATCATTCATGCATACATGTATATTTTCATTCATTTATATTTATGACGTATTGCTTTAGTTAAAACAAAACACAGTTTTTTCATTTATCGCGTCCGATAAATGAATTATAAATATATGTATATATATAATATATGTACAGTTAGTGCCAAGATGACAGCCACAATGCGCGCGATTCATCGTGGAAATATACCTAGGATGCGTTCAAAAATTCTACTCTTAGGGTAAAGTAGCGTCTAATTGACCAATCGAGACAAAGAAACCTTTGCTCCTGATTGGTCAATTAAATGTTACTCTACTTCATGGATAAGATTTCTGAACGCATCCCTAGGCGAGTCTTGCCGCCGCGAGTCAAGGCGCTGTTCGATAAGCCGAGCGTGAACGTGAACGTAGGAGACGTTCAAACGCACAATCGAGATGTCGAGGAACGACGGCAAGAAGGATACTTCGGCATCCGCGTTCCGTAAGATTGACGTGGACCAGTATAGCGACAACAATTTCAAAGAGGAAGACGCCGACGGTGGCATAGGCGCGCCCACCGGTCCAGACGAGAACGAGATTTTGACACTTCTTAGCCAATATCCTTTGCAAAGCTCTCGCTTCCGATAGAGGCCTTATTTTTCCAGCAATCTTATCGTCGACTAATTTTTCCTTAGCACTTTATCAAGGGTAAGAACGCGGAGGCGCTAATATCAGTATTAAAGTCCGCACCATTGGAGAGTAAAAACCAGCAAGTCAAGGTAACCTCAAAACACATCCTCCTTGCGATAACTATTCGTTTCTTTATCTTGTTTTCGTAAAGTGATATACATTTTATAATTTTTCAAATGTGGAAAGGCGTTATAGATATGAAAAGTATATAAATTAGTCGTGTGAGTAATCGTTATTTTAAAATAGATGAATTTATACAAGGCTTAAGGCTGAGAATTTGTTTTACTCTCTAACAATCTATTACATTATTTTTTAATATATTGCTTCCAAATTATCTGCAGGTTTTTGAACTTTTAGCTGGAATTAATAATTTATGAAACTCATAGAAATATTTTGCATATGATTTAGTTGTTTATATCAATATATTCCTAATATATAACTCTTTATACTTTTTTCCTAATATATTACTTTATATTTTGATATATATGTGGGTTTAGCTAAATATAAATTTCTATATATACAAATATGTGAAACATTTCTGTTTACAGGACAGTGCCCGGAACTTGACACAAAAGGTGCTCCTAAGTATAAAGTCGAATCAAATGGACGATTGCTTAGCACAATTAGATCGTGACTTAGTGGATGTTTTAATGAAGTACATTTATCGAGGTTTTGAAATTCCGACGGAAGGTAGCAGTAGTCACTTGTTAATTTGGCATGAAAAAGTATTCAATATAAGTGGCGTTGGTTGCATCGTTCGTGTATTCTCTGACAGCAAACGGGCTTGAAGTTTTGTACATTTTGCAGTAACGCTCATTACGGTAATTACCATTAATTCTTACTGTCATTTACTGTTATTCAATCATTGTTAATGAGGATGTAGATAGGAAAGCCATTCACACCATTTTCCATATGGGAAATATAACAAATTTGTGTACATTTGTTATCAATAAAGTAATTTTTATTTCTTGTACATTTGAAGAAATAATCCCTCTACATTCTCCATTGTTGCCCTTATTTTGCTCTAAAGAGTATAAATAACAATGATCTCACACAAGTGTTTAAATGATGAGAATTTGCCAACTTGCAAATATATTTTTTGTTGCTTAATACTCGAATATGTATACTATTATAATAAATGCAATTTTATTATTATAGCATCCCAAAATCTGAGTGTATTTTATTTATATTTTATATTCTTTAGAGTTGTAAGAGGCTAAAAGGGAGCGTATATATATATATATTTATATGACATTATTTTCTTATAACAACAATAAAGTCATTCTCATATCTGAACATTTCATTGTATATACTAGTATTGACCATTACGATGAGAATTGACGACTAATATGACATTTGAGTTGGCACAAAATAAAAGTATAAATAATTTGGAATAATATACCAACATTTTTATTTTATATATATATATGTAACAAAAACTATAATGCAATCAGTTAACATGGAAACATAATGATGTTAAATCCTCTATATCAGATATTTTTAGGTTCTATTGTTTGTATAATTGAATATGCAAGATTAGCAGGTTGTAATATCTATGGATTATTTGACTCTTGTGATATTATCACATACAACTCAGGGAATTCATTATAGAATTGAGATTTACTCACATTTGTCCTTTACTGTAAGCATAATCATATTTGTTTGGTGTATCAGATACAGCGCACTGACAAATACTGCGTTTGCCCTGCAAGAAGTATATATTGTATTATATTATGACAAATATATGTGTGTATATGTGTGTGTGAATAATATGAAGTTAAATATTCAACTTTTTTAGGCATATCATTGATTTTATTTCAACTACTTAATTTGCTTATCTAAATTTCATTTTTCGTTTTGCAAGCATTAATTTAAAAATAAATTGTTAGAATTTATTATTATTACATATTTACATTATTGTTAAAAACCAAAACACTGCATTATAATATATATATATATATTTTTTTTTTTAAGCTGTCTATTTAAAAATTGATATACTTACTGTCCCTCTTTGAAGTACTCCTTCAATGTATTGCTGAACCTTTTACTATATTTTACAAATTCTCTTTTGCGTTGATCTAATGCTTGTTTGCCAGCTGAGCCAGGTATAAATCCGGTAACTTCATTCACAGCATCTAAAAGTTTTTTTATCGCGCTTGCAATTTCTCTGAAAGAAAATATAGCCGATACAGAACATTATATACATATATAAATTACACATACATATATATAAAAATTATACAAACTTGATTGTCTCAAGAAAAGTTTTCCTGTCTGTGATCTCATCAGGAATTCTGCTAAGTATTCTTTTCAAGGAAGTAGATTTACGATTCAATTCTTGAAATGCATCTTCCGAACGTGCTGAACGGTATTCCACAACTGCAAGCAAAGACAAAATGTATAAATTTATCTAAAAATCTTAAAATAAAAAAAAACATAGATATTACAAAACTGTTATAATAGTAGATAATAATAAAGATGAAATATATATATATATAATTGCATTTTCTACATAAAGAATTAGGATAAAAACATAAAGAAGTAAGATTTATCTTACCATCATAGTCAGAGGCAGCGCCTTGTAATCGTAAGACACTCTCGTTCATATCAAGATTGAGTTCTGCTCTACGTATTATACCCATAATTAAATCGTGTGTAATCCCAGGATGAGAACTCTCTGCTTTTGAGAGAGCTGCGCGTAGAGTTTGCGCTGCCATGACATTTTGCCTTTCCAGCTAGAGAAATTTTGCACGTTAATCAATCAAACGTTTTAATAAGTTCTTTACTAAAAATGCAAAGTTTCATATAAAATATAAACAATTTGCTAAATGGATTAAAAAACGCTCTCAACTCTTATTCTATTCGTTCCTCTATGCTTTTTGACAAATTGCTATCCATCTTCTATGTATATATGATGTGTAAAAATGAGATTATTTGAGAAAGAGATAATTGTACTAGATGATAATATATTTATAGGCGAGATAATACCTTGGTTAATATCGGTCTTAATATTACAGGAAGAACCAGTGATGTAACTGGAATCTCATCGCCCATTGTCATCCTTCACAGTGTATGTTGTCGTTCGAGACGTCGAAAATACAATGAGTCGAGACGAGAGGCAAAGTCAAAGCTGCTTCGGAATGAACGAACGACGAGAAGATTGTTTATACACACGACTGGCTCACACCAGCATAACTCTTTCTGTGACAGCTGTCACAATAGGAGCTAGATACGCGGAAATGAGGTTATTCGGCGCTGCCAACATTAATTGGTACGAGTCGAAAATAGGATAGATCTGTTCGTTTTAGTCGCACTTTCTACACTCTTGATATCTCGTTTTTCTCTCTTCAGAGACACGAGCGTGGAGACGAGTCTACGTTCGTTTCATTTTAAATATGGAAAATGCGAGAAACACAGCTTAAAACGAGAACGAAGTATCTAATATTATTTCCGCATCGGTGAAATCTACAGGTAACGTACATTCTACTTGTATCTGTTTTATAGCGTTGATTAGTAATATATTTTCTCTCGATAGTAATTATAATATCATAAATTGAAATAAAGAGTCTTTATGCAAGCGCTTAGACGCACAACGTTATTATTTTTATAGTTATTATCTCAATGCGCTCTCATTCATCGCTCTATTTATCAGTAATTCTTCACACGATTTCTCTCGAACAATTGGCAATGAAATTTATGTTGCAAATCATTGCTGATGGAAGAAAACAGTTAAAGAATATTCTTTCCAGCATCAATTTCATTATATTTTCTCTCGTGCCTTTATTAACGTTACGATTCGAAAGTAGCGGGTGATAATCATTGGCGAAATTGCGAGCGCCACATAATTCCGAGAGTTGCTTTAACAAGTCTTGATAATCGATAACTTCATGATGCACTAGTGTCGACAGATTTTTTCATTTGCGGGATAGAGAGGTACGTTCCCGCTTAAATAGATTAATTAGAGATTAATTAAACTAATTTAGAATGAAGTCGAGTTAATATCACTATTCAAAATATATAATGTGTAAGATATGTGATCAAGATGAATGATTGTCGAGCTATCTGCATCTTTTTATTCGGGATTTTATTTCACGCTCATAAGTATGAACATGAATGCGTTTGCATCTCCATAACCGTTAAGTCCGTATTAGAGACTATGTGCATTAAAGATTAAGATTGAAGACTGAAGATTGAAATTTGATCAATCAGGACAAAGAAATTTTGGCTCCTTTTGTTCTGATTAGTCAAATTTCAATCTTTTATCTTCAGTTTTCAATCTTCAATGTGTAGTTTGATACACTCAAAAAAATGTCTTGCTGATATAGGTAGATTTCTAGGTGTCACAACAAAAATTTATCGCTATTTTTTGTATCTGTTAGAATATTGTCTGTTACATATAGAATTTATAGCAGCAATATTCTAATAATATCTTCTAGAAAATTTAGGTCCCATTGCCAAATGTTAATCACTGCATTGGATAAATATGAGTTTCGATACTACAGCTAGAACGATCTTTGTGAGAAATATAACTGCCAATTATAACTGCAGCATCGAAAAATTGAGAGAAATTGTTTAAAAGAGCTAGATAGATTGGGCGCGTTATACAAATATGTTAGATGTGAGGATTATATATTCATTTGTTTCTTGCCGCTAATTTTTTCTGTGTACCACAGCCAAACTTTATAACAAGTATGATTGGCCTTAACATGGATAGGCGCCACAGAAAAACATTCTTTCTAAATTTCACAAACAGTTCAGATATAAATTCTGTCTCTGTCACTTAGATTGATTAAATGCGAAACATATGCGATATCACAGTATTTGCTAATCATTTATGTACCTCAGTTAATTTTGCGCACCCAGAAAATTTTTGCTGTGGTTGCAATACAACTTTTTTGAGTGTACGATCTTTATTTTACTTTATGCATCATTTTCGTGTTTAAAATATCTTATAAATTGAATTTGTATAAGAATTGCTAGATATTTATTTGAATGTAAGCACAAAATCATATTTTTGACCATGTGAGCTGTTCCGAGAAAGTGTCAATATGATTAGTGACTATGTATTTCAGATTGAAGATCGGAAGTTTTGCCGCCTATTTCGATCGTGCGCACAAATTCCCGCTTATTTCAAATTTTGATTGCGCGCGCAAACTGTCGCCATGATTACGATTCGAGTCTCGCGGACGAGAACCCGGCAATCGACGCGACCGCGTACATTTTATCGAATTTTTTCGAATTTAACGGTGTGAGAGTGACGAAAGTGCATAGAATTCGTGAATTGAAACGCCGCGAAACCGAGGTAATAAAAGATTTCCGTGGAGATCGCGATAATATCATCTAATCCGAAAAATTGTCCGTTCGCTGCTCCAAAGAATATTCGCGTCGCGACAAGAGGAGGAAGAGGGGTTCCAGGAACAATCCAGGATCTGCTACCGAATATCAAGGAACACGGCTGAGATCTTGTCTGCAGCAGCGATGAAAAAGGTAAATGTCCTAAATGTTAATTAATCCATTTATGGTTAACCTACATATTGTTGGAAGATTAATTTTACTATAAATAAAAATGCCGCAATATATTTCTTTTCATAAGAATAATTTTCGCAGCATATCTGCAAAGAAGAGAATAGAATTATTATTTTGCATACAAAAAGTAATCCAAAGTTAAAACTAAATAAAGTTATTTACATTAGAAAATAATAATTTTTATATATAAATATTTTTCTCTACATATATCATACATAAGATATATTTAATTATATATAAAATCACAGACAGATCTTTTACAAAATTTGAGATATAATATTGCGGCAAAAAATTTATGTTTTACAATTATATAATGCGCAGGCGAGTATACATATTCGTCAGTTATAATCATCGAAAGAAAAAGATGTTGAATGTATGGTGATCGATGTAACACAATTGTTTTTTTATATGAGAAATGAAATTTTATTGATAACATAGGGACGTCCAAATACGTATATATAAACAGTGTGTGTGTATAAAAGTATAAAAAATAAATATTAGCAGCGCGCGCGCCGGCGTTTTGCGAGTCTCGTGGATATAAAGAGTCGGTCGTGATGCCCTTGACAACACGGGAATGCGTTGCGAGCACAGCTGACGATGAGAGTAAACTACATGTAACAATAATGATAATTGTAACAGTAACGCGGGAAAATAGGCGAATCGTTCACTTTAAAATGATAACACACTGCTGAGAACGAGACCGCATTTATAATCTATTTATAATTTCTATAGCTATCTGTATTTGTTACGTGCGAATCACAGTGTTTATAAATATTTTTACAGTTTTATTTGATGTTATTAAAAAATGGAAACAGATAAAAAAACGATTTTTGCGGATTTTTCATAATCAGACATATAAATCAAAATATATTTTAAAATTAAAAAAATAAATATTATTTAGAGTTTGTATGTATCATATCTAATATATTATTTCCAAAATAATCGGGCATTTATACTAATTATAATAGAATCGTAATTATACCGCTATAATTGACATTGTATTAAAGTATTTTACAGTAGTTAAAGTTAAATTTCAATTCACTAAAAGCATTCTAATATTCATGCTTTTTTTTACTCATATAAGTACACGTATTTTTATAATTGCTAACTAATTTGTATTTCGTGTGTTTTACATTTGAAAGACTATATTGGAAGATTATTGCAGATGTTGCACATTTTAGAATTTACTATTTAAATCTGACAATTAATCGCCTTACATTTCCACATATGATATGAACGGTTCAACAGTTTCACATTATATTGCAGTTTTATAAATATAAATTAGCTCTATATATAGAGAGATAGATTTTAGGAAACATTTTAAAATCTTTCAATTTTTTTTTATCCCCAATGTATAATAAACTTACAATGATTTTCAATGGTTTCAAAATTTCGTTACATACAATAAGATTATTTATCTCAATAATAACGTTATATCCACATTGATGTTCCCAAGCGCGCGCACACACACACACGCACATACATACACACACGACCAAATTAAATAAAATATAAATCCTCTAGTTCAAAGAGAGAGAATTACATGGCACATTCGATCGGATTTCGTCATAACGGAATCTACTTTATAACGGAACATTCATTGATATTTATCGACTTTTTTGCGTATTTTTGGAATCCAATTGCGTCAGAAGAATATTTTGGCCATGAGAGGTCACAAAGAGGCACGAAGACTCTGCTCGTGATTACTCGCGAACATAAACGTTAATTAACGTATAATTGATCGCTCACAAGTTGCTGTTTGCACGCGAAGAGCTGCGACACCTGCTGTTATCGGAAACATTGTAGTTGTCTCGCGGCAAATACACTCGCTCTCGCGTTATTATCTTAAATTATTTTTGCAGTCTCGTTTGCGTGGAGACACTTCTCATAGCAGTCGATTTATAATCTACACTAATCGTCCTTAATTGACGGTGTCGGTAAGCGATTGGGGGTAATCGCGTACGGCAATATCATGAGTATAAGTCTGCAAGTTCTCACAATTCACATTATAATAACACTTTTTAACAAAACAATAATCGATAAATCAATGATGATATCGTCGATTGTCGTGGGGGATTTTTCAAAGTCGTTGCATATGATGGAAATTTATATCTCTAGAAATAAAAATCTTGATTTATTATATTAATATAGTAAAAAAGAAATCTTTTAATTTGATATCTAAACCTTGATTATTCTATCTCGAATGGCAGTGATTGATTGAATATATAATCGTTTATTTCATTTATTTATTATATGTTCTTAAATATTCGCACATCCTGCCATTAATCTTGCTCCTTAAAATACGTCGCGCGTATGAAAAGATGAACGTTTTCGACGAACGCTACGATCGGAATTTTTGGTCGCATTTTCGATTTCATCCACCATTTTTCGTAGGCCGATTAAATTAATTATTGCTCTACAATACAATATTTTTTTAAACGTGTATTATCCAAGGAACTCACGAAGACATACTTTCCATTACGGTCCATTCTATTTTTTTTATAAATTTTTTATAATTTATCTCGGACAACATTCTTCGACTTTGATCATATATCAAGTATATCATCTAAGTGTCATCACTATATCACGCTACGATAAATTCTTCTATACAAGCATTGACTCAGAACATCCGTTAGCATTGTTAGCCGTCGTTTTTCTTTTTATTGAGGTTCCAATAAAATATTTTCACTGATAAAGCTATAGAATCTCATGTAAATAATGAAAAATTGATTTCCTGTAATAATACATTGTTTCATCTGAAAACTATCAAAGCTTTCTTCGATGAATCTAATCTTTTCCATCGTCGTCAATATATAGAATGATAATTTTTCGCACGATTTCTCCTCAAGATTTGAGATACTCGGTACTTTTTAGAGAAATGTGGAAAACGATTCATACAATCCGGAATGATACTAACACTTCGGTGAATTTTTGCTCGTTATTTTTCTCAATGATATCCCTTAATTATGTCAAAAAACAAAAACACAGCGAAGACACACATTTAGAGTCACTCTTTCGTTATATCATTGCAACGTTCAAGACAGCTTCTTTATTGAACGGTCATCTTCAACGTTTGTTAACCGTCCGAAAACTTTAACGAAACTTTAAAGAGATCCACGTGACTTCTTCGCGATCGATCAATTTGATCGTGTTAGATTGAGTCCGATAATCCTCGCCAAGAGGATGATCTTTTCAAAGTCCTCTACGCAGGCGCCTGCTCCATCGGTCTGTGGATCGGCATCGAGATCACGTAGATATCCAGCTTCTCGCCGGTCGTCTTGTCGACGATTTCGCCGTAGTTGACGGAATCGTACGAAGGCGGCGCAAACAGGTGATAGGGCGGCGGTGGGGTTTCCGTGACTCCGGGGGTATTTATCGTCTCGGCACGCTGCGCGTAGGGTACCGTTAGGGGTCGGCCACCCCGTCTACAGCACCATTCGGAACAGCTGACGATGAGGAAAAATGCCACCAGGCCGCCGAATGAGCCGATGTACCAAACTATCGACCATGGATCCAACGGATTCTGCAGATCGCCGTTGACTATAACAAAACGGGGACCTGTGAGCGAGCAGCTCTCGTTAATAACCGGGATCGTGTTAGTTTTTTTTTTAACTATACTCATGCAAAAGGATTAATAGAAATACAATAAAATAGAGGGTGGGATGCTCAATAAGAATCTAGAAAGTTGAGAAAAACCTTGCACGTGAATCATGTCCATTAGAGTCGAGGAATCAACTTATTATAGAGTCAAAGATTACGAGAAATCAAATTTACATATTGTATTATATTTGCTAATATCATTTGTTTGCAATCTTACACAGCGTATTCTTGTAACTTTACATGCGTCGAAAAAGTCGGCAAATTGCTATTCGAAAATTGAGACGATAATGATTTCGTACGAGCGGCATGCTGAGACGCATATTTTGCATTCTTGACACGGTTGCGGTATAAATATTACGAGAAAAGTTTTTAAAACCACGCCCCTTTTTCCGATCGACGATATGCGCGCGGAAACGACGTTCTCGATTGCCGTTAATACATGACGTGCACGAAGCGAAACTCGGAAAGACGATGTAAATGAAGATGGAACGACCACTAATTTACATAAATCCTTGGCACGAGCGGCGTGGATTATTCTCTGCAGTCGTGATTTTAGCGGAACGCTCAGATAGTTGAGATCTTAAATCTCATTTGTCTACAATTTTATTGGGCAATAAACTTTATTCTTTACAATGTGATGTTTTCAACGCAACATAGCATAAATATTTTTATAAATATATGATTTCTTTATATATATATATAGATTTATTTTCAATATTATGTAGAGAGAGAAAGAAAGAAAAATTATATGATTACTTAATATTTTATTATTATAGTCAATTGATAATTATTTTATTTTGGGCATGTAAATATCGAAAATATTAGATGAAATCTTTTACAATTTAAAAACAATTTTTTATTATTATGTTATATATTAGTTTCTATATTGAAAACATTCTACATTTACTAATATTTAATAGTTTTGATTAGTTAAATTATTATATCGATATTGTTTACGAAAAATTTTATTAACCAATTTATAAAAAGAAGTATGTTGTGTTGCATGGTAAATTGATTCGAATTTAACGTCAGAAGAAAATATTGGCAAAAGAAATCAAGATAGTAGTACGATATAACGACGAAATGAAGTAGCAACAGTATATAATTATCGATATGTAAATATTTTGAGAAATGTTGAAGATTCGATAAAGATCAATTCCGCTTTTAGTGTTTGTTGATTTTATGAAATTTGATATTAATATATAAAAAATATACAAGCATGAAAAAAGAACATATTAATGAAATACATTGAAAAATATTACCGAATGATGCACGAACGTGTTCGTTGATTGCAACAGGAAGTGCGCGATGATTCGCGATAATGAGAATGTGAATGAGCGTGATACTGCTTATTATATGATCACCCTCTCTTATGTACGAGTAAATATGATTCACGTTTCTTACCGATCTCTTCCGTATCTCTTTCTTTCTCCCCGTTTTCTTCCTTCTCTCCGAATGTGATCACGTAGACAGTCTCCTCCTTGTCATCGTCGGATTTCGAGTCGTCCGAGTGACGATTGTCGTTTATGTTGTGAGTGGCTTTATTGCTCTCCATTCGTCTTTCAGCACCGATGCTGTAACTCGACACTGCGTGAGCTGCGACATAAATTGCGATCAATTAATTAATTGCATTTAACTTTATGCTTGAATGTATAAATTATTCTCTCTAAAGTTATATGTGCGTGTGCACTTATCTTGCACTTGTTAAAAGTATTCATATATTTGAGAATATATAATGCAATCATAGTCATTTGATTATTTTTAGTATTTAACTCTCGAGTATATTTTTAATATATATTTCTAGATTTCTTGAATCTATTCAAAATATGATTATTACAATTCGATATGGAAAAGTTACTTTTTTCTCCTTAAATTATTACGTATTTATTAATCACTTTTTTAGTTTTTTTTCTTTTCCTTAGAAAATTTCTTAAATAACACGTAATTTGTTTACCGTTTGGTCGCATTCCCAAATAGGACGCAACTACGCGTGTATTATGTCGAGCGAGATCTCAGGGCTAAAGATGTTGTAACGCTCAACAAACAACTTCGCCTGTCGCTCGTTAACCTGGATTGCAATATTAGAAACTTCATGTACTATTTATTAAGCCAAGTTGATACTCGCCGTCAGTCTTGCTCCGATTTGTTAGTACGCGTATATTCTTAGCGTGAATGATAATAAAAAACTGGAGCTTGAAACGAATATTCGTAATTATTAACAAATCAACCGTATCCAAGTTGTTGCCCAGATGTTCTGAAAAATTTGCCTTTAAATTGCAAACGAACGTTATATTAACGAATTTATAAACGAAAACTTCTCATAATCACTTTTTTAGAATTGGCTAAATATATATATATCGATGATTAAACGATCGAATAAATTCAATTAATATAAAGATCTTTGATAAGCAATTTTCACAAATGATTTCTTTTTAATAACGAGATTATGCTTAGCATGTTTGAAAGCTATTTTTGCTTATTGCGATATCAATAGTTAACTTTGCTCGCAAAGTTAAATTCATTCTTAGAGAGTCATATCAATATTAAGTATTATCGCGAAGCAGTTTCAATTCTTTGTTTCATTATGAACAGTCTGGAAGAAAAGTTTCATGAATTCATAAAAGTCGAAGATCGCGTTACGGTCTTTAAACTTTTATCTGTGCGTAACAGCATTCGTTTTTATATGAAAGAAAAAGAATAATCGGGAGTATAAGCAAATAATTTAAAAACGTCGTAATAATTACAAAAGTTCGATAAAATTAGCGACGCTCATCGTGAATTCTCTTCATAAAAAATATATTCTTTTGCTTTTTTTTTCGACCTGCACGTATAGTAAATATTTTGTTGCTGCTCTGTGCTATTTTCAGTTCATCGTTAGACCTTATAAAGTGGCAAGACGTAAAATCGATCGAAGCATGGGCTTCCCTTTTTAAAAGAAACGCCGATATTGTTATTACGTTTTCTTAAAGCGAGGTGTGGCCGATGCCTTTCAGTTCTACCAGAAACTCGCGTCTCTACCCTGACACGATTACCTACTACTTATGTTAGCAGCACCGTTGCCTGACCAGATTTAGGTTCGGCTTTATGGTCAGAGTTACTTATGTATAAGAACACGTTACGATCCGCGCTTAAGTTGCTTTTGCGTTAAATGCAAATCCGGTTTAATACATTAACGCGGTACAGTTTGCTAATACACTATAATTTACTAATATATTACGAATATATTATAGCAGGTTGGAATATCTTTGTTATAATTTCGACATATAGATTATTTGAGTTTTTTTAGAATTAGTGTATCAAACTTATGTATAAAACGTTTATAACTAAGAAAGATGAAAAATACAATTGCAATAAATATTTTTTCTTACGCAATTATATTAATAATAAATGTTACGAAGCTGAAAAGAGAGAGCACAGGAAAATAAGAAATCGTATTAAAATATCAGAATATAGTATGTTAACGCATTAAGTGATTTCACATAGATTAGAGATAGATTAACGCTTCTATTTTCAGTTCGTGCAAATTAATAAATATTGTCGAAGTCGCGAGAAATACTCAATTTATGTGTTGACGCCAAGATGATGATTTTTTTGTCAAACACGATCATTTTCCGTTTGTTGATCCGTCGTATCATTGAAGGTTGTGTGTAATTAAAGACAAAGTCACATGAGGCAGAGAGAGGGAGAAGGGAGGGGAGAGAGAGAGAGAGAGAGAGAGAGAGAGAGAGAAACGAAAAAAGACAGAAAGAGACGCAGTCGCGCCGTGATACTGTGTATGAGAAATGTCCATTACTTTTTGCCAGCTACGGCCTCGTCATCGGAGTCGCAGCATCCACGTTTCGCGAGTCACGTACGCTTTCTGTTAAACAAAACCGATTACGAGAAGGATTTCCACCGGTAGGAACAGATAATTTGAATCGCGACAGATGAAAACTTCTCGCGATTTTTATATGACGTGTGCGGCTGACGTATACATAAGTACAACCGCGATACATTGCAACAAAGCGACGGAATTCAGAATCGTCTCCTCTCCCATCTCATCTTACTATCATAACAGGTTTGTGCTTATGTCAGTCGCACGCGTCGCATAAAAATGGCGCGGAGTTTCATATCTGTCGCGATTTAAATTACCTCCTACCGGTGGAGATCTTTTTCGTAATCGTTTCTATTTCGCATTTGCAGTTATCGGTGGGTTGCGTATATGGAAAACGGTTAATATTAACGCTGTTACGATATATGCATTATGCGACAGACGTAGCGTTTACGTAACGGCTCTTAGGCGCGATCGCGAGTCACGTTTCAACAATCGGTCCAAGTGTTCGAACATGTAGTTGGCTACGCCTAAAATGTAAATTTTTCGCTTATGACCAATGACCGGCGAAGCACACAAGGTTGCGCTTTATATGTGTATATTATAACGTCACGATACTATTCTGGGCACACGCACATTTGGTCACGTGACGATTTATTCACATGAGACGAACTTGATCTGTCTCTTAGTACTTATAAGCATTGTCGTCTCAATAGTCTTTGTCTTTATATGCTAATTTGTCGTTCGTAATTCGAAATGTGTCGCGACTCGAGAAAATAATGTAATCCAAAATGACTATAAACTTTCTAACAAGGTGTTTAAAAAATTGTTGTAACTTTATTTATTTATATTTGTTGTTTTAATCAGCATAACTATACATATATTATATATATATATATATATTTATGAGTATTTTCAAAATATTATACATATAACTATTTATATACTAGATAATTTGCATCATGATTCAAAAGATTGATATATCATAAATAATTTAATTTATGTAAATGTGGTAGCGTTATATGACATATGTTACCAATATTATCGTGACATATTTATTTAACATTGTTAAGAAGCATATTTACTTTATACGTTGTTTTATGTTGATAAAATATAAATCTCATATAAACTTTTGAACTTTAAAAGATGAAAGTCTCTTTAAAGTCTTCGCGTTGAAGCATTTCCTTGTGAAAATGACTCCTGTCTCGCGCCGACGTTGTTTGTAAAGTTTTACCTGACGCGCGTGAAAACAGCTGAAATACATCGTGGTTACGAAGACACCGAGTTGATCGAAATATTTGCAAAACTCTGGTCAGCAACGAAATCAAGATAAATCGCTGACATAGTATAGCGACGAATAATACTTCGTGAAATCTTACAGAAAAATCTCGAAGATTATATAAGAGTCTAGAGCGCGATCAGAAAAAACTCTTCAGAAGTTTCATAGAATATTATTAATTCAAAGATGCGTGCGCATATAAAAATAAACTTTGAAGTTTATTTTTTTATAATATTACTTGTGTACTCTTGACCAATTTTTTCCTTATTTTAAGTTCACTATAGGCTATCTTTTTTTGCACAATATTTGTTTTAAATTAATTAAAATCACGTTTTCTTTATTCTTTTTTTACAGTGCTTCGTTATAAGATCACAAGTCTTGTAATTAAATATGTGATTAGATGTCAGAGTAATAAATATCATAAGAATCGATTATCGTAAAAACGAGTATCTCTCATATCTTTCTTTATTTCTCGTAAAGAACGCATCACGCGATGAGATACTCCTGCTTATGCATCCACACGCGCACGTTATCGGAAAGTAGAAAGATACACATATGTACCTCAAGCGAGGTTCAACGTGAGACATTTTAATGATCATGTATATCCGAGTTGGCTTGATAGATCAATAATTCACAAAACTATAGCTCGGCGCGATACGCAGGAGTTGCACACTTTCGTTCATCTATCATCATGCATTCGCCATCGAACAGCGGCATATGTCCGCCTTTTAAAGTTATTATCTATTTATCATTTATCATTTCAGTCATTTATTTTCATAGTGATATAAAAATCCAGCTTTAAAACATTAGGAATTTCAATTATAAAATGATAGTAGTAGAGTACAGAGCGTTGATCTGAATCTGATTTTTATATCTCTTTCAAAATAAACGATTTATTTATTGATAATATAGATTGTTGCATAAGTTCTGTTCGCTCGTTAATGCAAAACAAGAAACTAATTTTTAAAAATTCCTATCTTTTATGTTTTTTTTCCGTTGTCACCAAGATCTGCGGCATATTTGTAAATCAAAAACGCGCAGTTTCTTACATAGATTGCATTAACGGCTTTTAAAAGCTTATATACGATATGTTTTGAATATCTAATCTACGATAGATTTTCTAACGAAAATACAATATATTTTGTTAGTCTTCTTTATAGATAATAGTCTAAAAGTACTAAAAAAGTTTCTTAGAAACGATAAGATCGTTCCTACATTTATATCAAACAATATCGGACAAAGCCTTCTAACAATAAGATAAGAAGTAAACTTATTATTGCATTAAATCTCTCACATATATTTTAATGATATACATATATGTATAATATTATATTTGCAGTTATATACGCATGAGTGTCACGTGACTCGCATCGCGACGATGATTCAGTCGTCGGCGAAAATCGCTTTGCACCTGAATGTTTAGCGTGAAATTAATCGCGCGCGAATGAATATCGGGAGTGCCGATTCATATATCGCGTGATCGTCAGAAAGTGCTAATTATTGTAT